TCGGAGGAAAGTCTGTTCATCTCCCACTTCGTTGAGTGGAGTGAAACGCCACCACAACCCCATACTCCTCCGCCTCCCCCCCCAACCCATCACAGACAACAAATCTGTTTTCTTTGCTGTGAAAATGCGCACATTTCGGACTGTATGGGATGAAATGACGGGCGGGACTAACGTCGCCTCAGCTGTCTTTAAAGTTTGACTGATTGCTGACGAGCACTAGCATCAAAAATTGCCTCCTCCTGCCATCTGTAAAAAAACAGCGATTTCGCTCGCCTCCAGAATTACTGGGCTTTTGATGAAGGCTGTAGCAGCCCCCTCGATGACCGAAAAGCCTCGAATTCAACGTAATAGCATGGCTTAGGCTCACAACAAACATGCAGTTTATGAAGTTGGTGGTAGACTTTGAAGTAGAAGGCAAACTGGGCTAGCAACAACTGGCAATAACTGTAGGCTAGTATCGTGTACTTTTCCAACCGGAGTACTTCGAGACATTTACAGTGACCACAACGGCGGTATTAAAGCTACTTCTAGAATATTTTTAGCACACTTGAAACCTTGTGCTTCTCATGAAAACTGTGGGGATGGCACCTATCTGCTAAGCTGTGGAATGCACTTATTTCCGAACTGTGGTTTAAATATTCAGAATCTGCTGTCATAAAAAGAATAAAACTGGGTGCTTTTACCAAAAATTGAAGGGGACGTATATGTCTGAACGATTGTCCCACGAGCCTGCGACATAAATACGATTGTTTTCACATTTACCCTTCACAAAACACCGCATTTTGTCTCCCAAATGGATTCGCTTACTGCTAGAACCAAAGTACAGCCTGGAGGTTCAGGTATAGGTGTATAACCGTAAACCTCGCCAACCATCACAGAGAGCATCAGGCGGCAGCCGACAGCGTGCATATGACACATATTAACTGATGATCGCAAAAAAAACAAATTGATGTGGGTCATGTCGTCTCCTTAGAATTAACAAGACGGAAATCGTACAAATTCTTATTCTAATTCAGATTCGTTTCTACAGCATGTAATTCTCATACTTAGACCTTCAGTGTGTACATATGGGATGGGTTTTGCGAAAAATACTTGAATATGCAACGCCTCGAACCCCATTGAAAATCGATAGATTAAGCAGTGAATTAGTTTTTTTTCTGAATACGAATAACCTCGGCAGCCGAAAAAACTTTCGAATCAGAAGTCGGTATTCCTCAATCTGAGCATCGATTACGTATTCATTTTTCCGTGTTGGTAATCCTTAAAAGATGACAGGACCGAACTAGCATATCCAATACTAAAAAGATAGGCCGTTGCCATTGTCCACGGAACAAAATCCCATTTATAGTCAATTGATACGCTCGCATCGTGATCATCTCATTTATAAGAGCAGCATTTTGTGTTACGGAAAAAATGGGTGTTAATTTAGCTTTAAATGTCGTTCGACCTCGTTCTTTCATAAATACAGTCCTATTCTACTAACCATTTTTTGCCGGCAAACAGATATCCTGGAGACTCCTTCATGTAAACTTGTCTTGCTATTTGCTCAGATGAAAGATAACGACTTGCTCTGTAAACTAGACTCTCTGAGAAGCTCTGAATCTCAGATAAACAAGTCCACGCTTCTCCCCTACTGAGAGCTATCTAATCTTGCAATCAGATTTAGCGGACAGATTTTACTACAACGACGTGGACGATTAACAATTTCGGTTGGCATCGAAGACGCACACGAGGTTCCAGTGACGCGGAGTGATGGCTAACTTGCGGCAGGACATTTTTGGGGAATTTTTACGAACAATTCCTCTACCCCAACGAGCTAACATCAATAATTTCTGCTGACGGCTAAGTTGTTCCCGAATCTGCGAATGAAGAGCTAGATTCTAAACAATTATCGGAACGGGTGTAGGTGAAAACAAGATGAGACGTGTGGGGGGTGGGGAAAATGGGGATGGATGATGAGTCACTCGGCAGCTCAGCCATCGGCAACGAAGACACGTTCACAGGAACAAGAGCTTTGTTAGCCTGGTGTTTCGCCTTCTCACCCAGCTCCATCATCAGAAACAAGTGAGAATCTGAAATTCCAGACTAATTAAGTTCTTGTTTCATCAATGGCGTCTTTTTCTTCTTCTTCGCGAAGACGGCCACTACGTGTGCCCCAGAGAAGCACCGGGTTTTTGTTGCGTGTCAAAAAGTTTGAATGAAGCAGACTTGCGTAGTATCTATCGCATGCTGCTTATTTTCATCCGCGATGCTCCAGGGCACTGTGGTCCAAGATGATTTACACAGCTAAAGAGCTCGTCTACGCCTGCCGGCATATGTGACCTCAAGATGGAACCCGGAAATGGCAACATCCTGCATATGTAATAACGCTGACCCCCCGTGCATAATTCCAGGAAAAGTATATAGTCTTGTGGCCTAACAGTATCCTTGGCATAAACTT